ATCTCCTGGTCTGTTGGGTAAACTTCCTTTAAGGTTTAATTCAAGTCCAACTGCTCTGATGAGTTTCCCTGAACTGTCTATTCTTACTGTGTATGTATCCATATTCTAGAACCTGTAACATACTAGCTGCTTTAATTTGTTTATTTGTCTACTTCTCCCATTAGAGTGCGAATTTCTGGAGGACAGGGACTATGTCTTCTGCATTTGAATATACTTATATCCAGTGGTCATGTGTGGGTGTGAGAGCTGGACTGTGAAGAAAGCTGAGCGCCGAGGAATTGATGCTTTTGAACTGTGGTGTTGGAGAAGACTCTTGAGAGTCCCTTGGACTGCAAGGAGACCCAACCAGTCCATCCTGGAGGAGATCAGTCCTGGGTGTTCATTGGAAGGACTGATGCTGAAGCTGAAACTCCAATACTTTGGCGTATTCCATAACTTATGCGAAGAGTTGACTCATTGGAAAAGACCCTGATGCTGGGAGGGATTGGGGGCAGGAGGAGAAGGGGACGACGGAGGATGAGATGGCTGGATGGCATCACCGACTCGATGGACATGAGTTTGAGTAAACTCCGGGAGTTGGTGATGGACAGGGAGGCCTGGCATGCTGCGATTCATGGGGTCGCAAAGAGTCGGACATGACTGAGCGACTGAACTGAACTGAACTGAACTGATGTTTTAGACGGTACATTAAAATTACATGTTAAGATTGATGCTTTCAAACTGGTGCTGGAGAAGACTCTTCAGAGTCCCTTGGACAGTGAAGAGATTAAATCAGTCAATCCCTAAGGAAATCAACTCAATATTCATTGGAAGGACTGATGCTGAACCTGATGCAAAGAGCCAACTCGTTAGAAAAGACCCTGATGCTGGGAAAGATTGAGGGCAAGAGGAGAAGGGGACGACAGAGGATGAAATGGTTGGATGGCATTACTGACTCACTGGACATGAGTTTGAGCAAACTCCGAGAGATAGTGAAGAACAGGGAAGCCTGGCATGCTGCAGTTCATGAGGTAACAAAGAGTTTGATACCACTTAGCAACAGAATAACAACAATGCTATAAGTGTGTTGATTTGATATAAGAGTTAGACTGGGAGTGTTAATATCTATGTTTTATAGATAATTCAACTGGAACTCTGAGATGTTAACTGACTTGTTTGAGATCAACCGAAGTGCCAAAACAATCAAGGGTATCACTTTTATTTTTTTACATCTGGAATTTTTTCCATTACACATGCTGCCTTCCTACCATGATGGAGTTATTCCCTGGGCTGGTGAGCCTGACATTCTGGAAGTGTTCACTGGAATTTTCTGATTTGAGTATACACATTCAGCCTGTTGATTATTTAATGTTGTCACTTCTGTGGCTGACTAATGACTGAAAGCAAGTCAGTCCAGCCAGATACATTATTCTTCATGAGTTTGGCCTCTGAACTGTTTGGATTTCTGGACATTTCCATCTTAGTGCTGCCACATCTTTTGATTTTCTTTCAAGAACCTAAATTGTCTTTGTTTTGCCTACATTTACTGTCATGAATCATGTGGACATTATTATTATTATTGTGACTAGATAACTAATATAGTTCAAGAGAAGGTAGGCTTTTTGTTGATACCTTAGAGAGGATTCTGCCTGGGTTTTGCCTTTTGTACTTCTCACATAGCTCCTGAATTCAGAACATCTATATCTCAAAATAGATGGGGGCTTCCCAGATGGCACCAGTGGCAAAGAACCCACCTGCCAATGCAGGAGATGTAAGAGATGGATGTGTGTTCTACCCCTGGGTTGGGAAGATCCGTTGGAGGAGGGCAGGGCAACTCACTCCAGTATCTTTGCCTGGAGAATCTCATGGACAGAGGAGTTTAGTAGGCTGCAGTCCATGGGGTCGCAAGGAGTCAAATGTGACTGAAGTGACTTAGCACATAAGCATTTCTCATAATGCCCAGCTCAGATCAGGCAACTTGACATTCAGAAAAGGTGAGGAATAACTCATGCAAACCTTTGGAATACTAGGCTGAGTTTAAGATAATTATTTGGTAAAAGGGTAAATGCAAATTCTTGATTATTTTTATCAGGGGAAGAAAGAGATTGTGTACTAAAAGATACAGGCATGTGAAAGGTGAGAACTGCGAAACACAGTTATTTAGTGGTCACTTCATTTTGTCTTGTACTAATTTTTGCTGTCATTTCTATCTCCTATCAAGTAACAATCGACCTCTTATTTTCTTAATTTCATTCTATCTTGCACTTAGTAAATACTCAAAAGGAGCTTGTGAAATGAAATGAGTGATTCCAAAATCTCATTTCAGCCTTTCACCTTTCATCTATGGTATAGTAATAATTTAGACAATGAAATGCTACCCAGGCAAGAAACCAGAGATGGAAAGACATAAGGTGCCATTGGCAACTATCAATCAGATAACCTCGGAAAATTGAATGTATATATGTATCTGGTTACTCGCAACAATAAACTATTAACAGAAACTTGGCATTTTAATTTAAGAACTTTCATGTTTTCTCGATGGTTGTGTGTTTAACATAAGTAATGTCCATTCATGACATTTATATTTCTTTTAAACTTTAATACTAAATTAGTGTTTAATAAATTATTGCGCATTGAAAAAATAAACTTTTTTTTCCAAAAACAATTTAAATTTTTATTGATTTTGTTTATATCATAAAGAATTAGCAACTATAGTAGTTGCCACTTTAAGTGACCTCAGAAAAACAAAATATATAATTATTTCACATGGTTATATTACAATTTCATAAAGTTAGTTACAGCATACTCATGCTTTGTTATAAACTGTATTCCTTTGGCCATATGTTGTAAGCTATCAATACTAATGCACACCCATATTAGCAAATATAAAAGAGAAAATCTAAAAGTGTCATAAGTCTTTTAAGCTCTACAACCATGTTAACATTACTTTTGTCCGTTGTTATATTATGCAGTCCTTAATACTAGAAAATATGTTTGAAAATCAAATGGTAGCCCCTTTCCCCATATTGATTTTATTTATGCTAAGAAATCATGTTTGTTTCTTACCAACCTTTGTCAGTCTGTTCAAATTTTGAATCAACCATTTTTAGAAAAGCTACTGAACATGAGTTCATTATAAATAATGCATGCATATACTTTCTGTGTGCAGTTTAAAATTTGGCAAGATGTTCACAGCCCATGATTCTGACACAGAGAAAGGGCATTATAATGTAAATGAGGAAGAAACAAAATGAAATGGTCACAAAATGAGCTCAAATTTAAATAGGAATAAAAAAATCCATTAACAAACTGAAAACAGTAGTGACCCAAAGTTAATTTAAGATCCGAAGTTTGAAATGTCTTTTGTGATGACAAGGATCTGAAAATGTGATTGGGAAGACATTAATAAATGAGACTGTGATGTGTAAATAAATTCCATGTGGCATACGAATCCATGACTTCCTGGCATTGTTGGGTTTTTGGTATCATCACATTAGGTGCTGGAAAGCAGCGTTGCTCATTTATTCCCAACATGTGGCTCTGGGTTACCAAAAAAAAAAAAATCAGAAACTCTGTTATATTTTAAGACAGAGTTAAAGCTCTTGGGCCCAATTTATTCCTGAAGCCACTCTGAGAACATTGCACTGTGTTTTGCTGGAACAGAATCAGGACCTTTTGCATTGATGTAAAGGGCAATGACGAACATCAGGCTAAGAATGGGAATCTGTCCCCTTGGGTCTCCTCCCGCCCCATCTCATTTCCTCTGTCTTCCGTTTTTCTCTCGTACATACTTTCACACACATCTCATCTGAGTTAACCTAAGGCACTTTGCTGGGGAGATGAAAGAATTCGGCAAGAATGCACAAAGTTAAAAGATTCTTAACAGTTCCATGTAGCAGGTTTGCCTGTGACAGGAAAGCACCGCATCCAGAAGTCTTTTCTGTTAGTTATTTACAAAAATAATATAAAAATTAGTAATAAGCTTTAAAGGTGACTGTTACACTGACTGTAATAGCTATGATCTTAGAGACAGTATTTTAACTATCACATGATACATATGCCAGATACCGTCTTAACTGCAGAGATGTTGCTGTCTCCTTTACCATATGGTCAATGCTCCAGGCAACTCACATTCCGTCCATGATGGGGTTACTGGCATCTCTCCATTGTGAAGGTATGAGCACCGGGGCCTGCCCTCTGTTTAACATCTACACGTTGTGTATTGTAGCTAAGTATTTACAGATGACAAAACTAAACGTACAGCATTTAAACTACAGTGGTAAAAGAAGAATGCTTTAATAATCCTCAAAAAAATTGTAGGTAGTCCTTTCTTTGCCAAGTACACGAATAGGCGATTTCAAAGCAGTGTTTTGGGATGGCATTCCAAGACTTCTCTCTCTGTCCGTTTGTGACATTGGATCTTATCTGAATGTAAAGTTGCATGATTTTCAAAAACCTCAGTCTCTCTGATTCTTCCTCCTGGTCATTAAAATATGTCTCTAATGTCAAAAATCCACCAGCTGAACTATTTTCACGTGTTGTTTCCAAATATAGTCCCGCCAATGGTGTGAGACTTTAAAAGATATTTAAAATTTTAAATTGAGTAATTTAAATTTCATCTAAAAATTCTGTTTTGCAGTGACACATTTTTCCTTTACATCAGATTAATCTTGATTTACAAAAATAAACATCTTTCACAGGAATTCTGAGTGAACTCAAGTTAAATGTAAGTGGTGTATGAATAGGCCAGAAGTTCTGAAGAGCTATAATATAGTGAAGTGCTAACTGTAAAGAATTAAGTGCTTTCACAATGAGGCTTTCTTAATTCTCACTGCTTGTCTTCTCAAGCTGTAAAAAGCTTATCAAACGTCATCTGGAACTCTTGAGTGTGAAGAAAATAATCATTCTTACATTTGTACATTGTTTTGTGCAAACACACACGTTGTTTTGTTTCACCTTGGCCGACACCCTTTTGTTTGAATGATTTCTGTCCAAAATAAAGAAAATGAATATTCCTTCTTTCAAGATGAGCTGTATTTATTACTGGAACGGAAGTTGTCATATCCGTGATCGTTAGCTTTGAACTTTAAGCACGACTGCTTTTCCTCCAAGGACTGTTTTTCTTCAAATGATTGGCACCAGCAGCATAAACATGACTGCACAAAACAAAGTAACTTCGTTACAAGTTTACATCAAGTTACACTATCACAACCCTCCCTGCTCACCAGAATTCTGGCTTTCTCTGCAGGAACAGCAATTCTTGGGCCACTTTCTTGCCATGCCCTTTTATTTTCTGCTTAAAAACATATAACTACAGAAGCGGTATATCATAATTTTTTAAACTAGAAGCTACACCGAAGAAAAATGTATATAATTAAACTTCTTCATCTTTTAATTAAAATGAAATAGAAAGACAATTCTTGGATACTTACTCTTGGTTACTTGAGAAATACTCTTAATATTTGATAAATATATAACTCAAAACTTTTTTCCTATGCAAGTGGAAATATTACCATACCCATACGTACATAATAATCTGTAACTTTGTGGGCATCAAAATAATTGTAGCTTGTTCTGCCCATATATTTAAGTACACAACTAAAATTGTCAGCAGAGATGCTACAGACCCATGTTGACGTCTTCCACTCTGAGAATATGGTGCCTTGGAACTTCACCCCTAATCCCATAGAAATGGAATGGCAGTTGACAGGGGCGAACTGAAAGCAGCTCCTTTGTCCCTTTCCTGGTTGCCTATTTCTGTTCACTTCTAACCTTAAAAGAACCTAATTATAGGCTTCTCTGGTGGCTCAGAGGATAAAGAATCTGCCTGTAATGCAGAAGACTGAGGTTCAATCCCTGGATTGGGAAAATCCCCTGGAGAAGGTAATGGCAACCCACTCCAGTATTCTTGCTTGGAGAATTCCATGGACAGAGGAGCCTGGTGGGCTACAGACCATGGGGTCACAAAGAGCTGGACATGACTGAGCGACTAACACACCCCTAGGGATTTGATCACTAAGCAATTGAAACTAACTCCTGACTTAATGCTCAACTGAGTGCACAAGATGCCTTGTCTAACCTGTTGATGCTTTTCCTAGATAAAAAGTAGGACTAGGTCTGTACCTGTAGCAGTCCCCCCAAGGAATCCTGCAAGCAGATCACTGGCAAGAAAACATCTGAAGAGAGAGCCAGACAGTCTGCCTTCCATGGAGAGATAGAACCCAACCTTCTGTCTGGATGATTCACTGAGATTCTTCTCCCTCCATCTTTCCCTTTAAAATTTGTCATGACTGAACAGAATCTTTGGAGTCAGTCTCTGGACCAGAGACCACCATCTCCCTAGATTGCTGACTTTTCTGATGAAAGCATTTTTCCTCTTTATTAACACTTGCCTCTGGAATTATTGGTGTATGAACAGGGAGCAGCCAACCTGGGTTTGGTTACACTAGGAACAAGTGGATATAAGGGAAGGAATATTTTATTCCATACTAGGTAACTGAAGGAGTGAATGAATGGATGGATGTTACACACAAATGGAAGCAGCCAAATGAGGAATAATTTCACATATTCTATATCAAGGAACACTGCTGTCAAATAAAGGCAGAAAAGTGAAGGTAGAACTTGAATTAAGTTGCTTTGTTTGACTTGTAATTCTCACCTGTGTATGAAAAGGAGATTAACTTAGTTATAATTAGCACTGTGCTACCTAGTCCAAAATCTTCCAAAAAGGGGAATAGTGCATTTAATTCATGTGTAGCTCTTATTTTATCATGTGATAGCATTCAGATATCATGCATGTAATCTTTTATTCATTTTCTGAGTAACTCTATGACTAAAACTGATTGGTTGAGGCAGTAGTGAATGGTTGACTGGGATTTATAGGGAGAAATTGATTATAGTGATTTAAGAGCAAAATTTATATTTAAAGAATCATCTATCATGTAATACAAGGGAAAACTATAAAACAGTTGACTAGATCACTCTGGGTAGAAATAATAATAGTTTGAAAGGGTTATATTTGATACCAGATTAAAAGGGTTTCTGATTTTTGAATACTCTCTTACCTTAAAGCAGTTTTTGAATCTTTTGCTCACCAAATACAGAGCTATTGGGTTAATACAGGAATTCAGGGAGGCCATGTTGATGCCAATGTAGTCCAATACCAACAAAAAGCTGCAAAAATAATACAAAAATTTATTTATGTGCTTTGAGCACATATACTTTACAGACATTTGTGTTTTATAAATTAAAAAATTACCCATTTATAATTATTTTGACTTTTTATCACCAGTCTTTGCTGATTTTGATCTCTCTCTGTCTCTCTTTCTCTTTGCCTCTGTCTCTTTCTCTTATTCTCTGCCCCTGTCATGTCCTTAACCCTCATTCCCACTCCCATGCTCAATTCTCTGCCTTAAAATGAAATCTATTTTGTAAGTGCTCAGGCTGTCTAAAAAAGAAAAGATTTACAAAGTGCAATGGAGAACCAGGTCTGGTATTTTCAATCGTGCCACTCACTCACTTGGACAGCCCTGGTTCTCCATTCTCAGTGTTCCAAAGCTCCCCTTACTTCTCTGTTGGAAATAGAAATAAAGGTAAAAAAGAAGAAGTTGGGGGCATCTTAAATTGCTCCCTGAGGATTAGAAAAATGGTATTCTCTCTTCCTGCCAATGAAAGGAATCAATGGAAAACCTTCTGAATGGCATTTATTTACACAACTATTTCTATTTTACCTTACTTACCTCAAAAATTCACATCTACGGGGATCATGCTGATCATAAAGAGTGAGCTTCAAAATCCTGCTAAGATGAAGAGGAAGCCAACACAGAGCAAAGACAAGGACCAGGCAAAATACTGTTTTGGCCACTTCCCGTCTCTGAAATAAAACCGCAGTCAGACTCTGTAATGGATGGCTCATTATAATCACAGCATTCTCTCTTTCCAAACAAAATGTTTAATACTGTTCACAAAAAGTCAGTGGCATTTGTAAAAACTCAGGATACAGAGTTTTAAACTGAATAGTTACTGTGAATTAGAACCTAAATGACTAAGATTCATCTTTTTCTTTAAACTTTTCATTTTGTGTTGGAGTATAGCCAATAAACAATGTTGTGATAGTTTCAGGTGAACAATAAAGGGACTCAGCCATACATATACATATATCCCTTTTCCCTCAAACTCCCCTCCCATCCAGGCTGCCACACAACAATTAGAATTCTATGTGCTAATATAGTAGGCCCTTGTTGGTTATTCATTTTAAATATAGCAGTTGTGTACATGTCCATTTCAAACCCCCTTCCTCTCATCCTAGAGATTCATCTTTAAAAAGTAATGGCTTATATGTGGAATCTAGAAAAAATGGTACAGATGAACCTATTTGCAGGGCAGGAATAGAGACACAGACATAGAGAAAGGATGTGTGGACACCATGCGGGGGAGAGGAGGGTAGGATGAACTGTGAGATTAGGTTTGACATAAATATACTACCATGTGTAAATGGATAGTGGGAACCTGCAGGATAACACAGGGAGCTTAGATGGGTGCTCTGTGATGACCTAGCTGAGTGGGATGGGGTGGTGGTGAGAGGGGGGTCCAAGACGGAGGGGATATATGTATACATATAGCTGATTCATAGCAGAGACTACCACAACACTGTAAACCAGTTATACTCCAATGAAAAACAGTTTATCTAGGAAAGTGATGGCTCTTTTTACATTCCTTTAGATTATGTAGGATATCTCCAGATAGATAATATAAAATGTATTAAGAATATGAGCCTAAGAAAAAGGAGTAATGTTCTAGTATGTGATACTTTTAGTTTATTATGACCACAATAATTTTCATATTCATAGTTGGAAATGTAATCATGAATCAGCAAATATTTCCATTTCCTTACCTGCTTTAAATGATCATTTAAAGCAATTTGCATACCACTCTTCTTTCTCAACATTTCACAAGTCATCAGGGTATAAAACAATGCAGTGATGGCCAATGGCAGGCAGAAATAGAAACTAAATAGCCACCAGTCTTTAGCTGTCTTGTAAAACTATGGGGAAGAAAGGATGTTATAGTTAATATTCTTCTGTAAGAAAATCTTACATATCAAATATTAAAAAATGCTCATCAGGAATAATCTTCTAAAGTAGATCCATTTTATAAATACTATGTAGAATCTTTCAGTAGAATCTTTATTCTACTATGTAGAATTTTTTGTCTGCTGAACAAAAAATTAAGTGAAACAAACTTTTCTTAAAAGGCATTTCAATTCTCTAAGGCAGTGTGCTATAATTAAATATAAAAATGTAAGCAATTGGGCAAAATTTTAAATACTTGATAACTCAAGTATTTTTGTCTTCACATAAGTGAAAGGAATTCTTTGTGTGAAATACCACATCTGGACGTGTAAAGATATTCTAGTGTTTTGGGGAACTTCTCACCCTTTAACAAGTTTGTTTCTGGGGAAAGCAGGTAGGAAGAGGTCTATAGTAATCATTTAGCTCAGGGATGTATGCATCTAAACTATCAACTAAAAATCAAAGTTGCTTATAAAATGACTTCTCTTGTACTCTTTCTCTGTTCTTTTTTCCTTTTCCTTGGAGATTGTTGTTCCAGGTATGTCTCTGTTGGAACAGAAGTTATGGAATCTATGCAGTACTTTGGGCTTCCCAGGTAGTGCTTGTGGTAAGGAACCTGCCTGCCAATGCAAGAGACATAAGAGGTGGGGGTTTGATCCCTGGGTCAGGAAGATCTCCTGGAGGAGGGTACAGCAGCCCACTCCAGTATTCTTGCCTGGAGAATCCCATGGGCAGAGGTGCCTGGTGGAGTATGCTCCATGGGGTCGCAAAGAGTGGGACATGACTGTGACTTAGTGTACCCCCAGGCGGTACTTTTCCCATTGTAACTAATAAGAAACAAGGAAACAGCATTTTCATTTTCAGTTTCCCATTAAAGCCCCTCTTTAATCTTTTGTTTATCATGATCTATACACATATACTTAAAGTCTTATATAACCTTACGTGTAAAATAGAAAATAATTATTTGTGACATTTGGACCCCCTCCCTTTGCATTAACTCCTTGCCCTTTCAGTTGGGAAGAGCCTTTTTCACTTAGGGTCTATTTTTTGATGACCAGCAATGCTATTTTCCCCCATTTCCTAATTAAACACTCTTAAATAAAGACAAGATGAAGTTCTTTGCAATGGCAGCTTTCACTTTAGAGCGAGGACAGGCTTGTCATTCATCCCAAGATTCATGAAGTCACGTAGATTTCTACCAGTCTATCCATACCACGGTGACTTCTACTTGATCATTCCTTTAACCACACACTCCCTCCAATGACTGCTGTGTTGCTTAATGCAAAATATGTTGTAGCAGCCAGTTCTTATGTGAACTTGAGTAGGAAAGCTATAAATTCCCATCGATTCTCTTATGTCAACTTGGCTTATCTGTATTCCCGAGAACCAGGGGATTCTTGGAGAAGTAATGACCTAGCTTCTTGCAGCGTGGGTCATTAGTCCCGCTGTTAACCCTGAAGTCCTGGGACCTATACTTTTAATTTATGCCAAGGACAGTCATAAATCAATAATTTCCCAAGAAGAGGAGATTGGGGGAAAACAGGTGAACATTTATAAGACAAGAGCAGAAAAGGGAAAGAAAAGTAAAATTTACCTGCATAAATGCTGTTTTCTGAGTGGGATGGAGCAAGCAGATTCTCAGATTATTTCCTATGTGATCACTGGTAATTATATCAAAACCCACGGCCTCAGGGACAGCCAGAACCACGGAGACCACCCAAATTAAAACAATTTCTACTGCTGTCCATTTTGGAACCCCGATTCCTTTAATCCGACTCCAAGAAGCAACAGCTCGATATCTGAAGAACAAAACAGAATCAATCGCCAAGCTGGCAGAGCCTGGTTTTTATTGAATTACAGTTTACTTTCTAAGTAACGTAGCAACCACTAGGATAGTGGTCAGGATATATGTCGCTTAGGCACATGCTCTTACCTGTCAATACTTAGAGCACATAGACTCAGCACAGTGATGCCCACGGAGGCCTTCTGAATGAAAGGCACCAGCTTACACATCTCAACCCCAAAGGGCCAGTCCTTGGCGAGCAGCTGCATAGAGGAGACACAAGCTCTGTTAGGGAGATGTTCACAGGGTGTTCTTGAACTGTATGTGTTACTTAGTGGAGGTGAATGAGCTTTTGGAGTAAAATAACAAATTCCAGTTCTTATTCTTTTTCTCATGGACTCCTCTGAAAATCACCTGCATTTGTTAGATATTTGGAACAAGAGAGTGGGCTGGCAATCATGAAAGGGCAGCCATTTCGGGAGAATGAGCTACACATGAACAAGAGTTTAGGGTCAAGGTCTCTTCTACTGCAGGGCCAACTGGGGCCAATTGCTCAAGTTCTCCTTTCAAAAATGGAAGCTACTATACAGCACCAGGAGCCCAGATAAGTGCTCTGTGCTGATCTAGAGGGGTGGCATGGGGCGCAGTGGGAGGGAGGCTGAGCGAGACAGGATATATGTCTACATATTGCTGATTTCCTTCATTGCATGGCAGACACTAACACAGCATTATAAAACTGTTATATTCCAGTTTAAAAAAAGTTTTAAAAATTGAGCCTGTAGTGCTGAAAGTTCCTCTCGCACTGTTATGAAGTCTCCAATGCTCAGTTGGTGGCCAAATCAAACTAAAGATTAATCAAAAATAGGTGAAAAGTGTTCCTTAGTTAGACTCGACGACTCCCTGGGCTTCCCTGGTAGCTCAGCTGGTAAAGAATCAGCCTGCAATGCAGGAGATCCTGGTTCGATTCCTAGGTTGGGAAGATTTCCTGGAGGAGGGATAGGATACCCACTCCAGTATTCTTGGGCCTCCCTCATGCCTCAGACAGTAAAGAATCTGCCTGCAATGCAGGAGACCTGGGTTCTAGCCCTGGGTTGGAAAGATCCCCTGGGGAAGAGAATGGCAACCCACTCCAGTATTCTTGCCTGGAGAATCCCCATGGACAGAGGAGCCTGGTGGGCTTGAGTCCATGGGCGTCACAAAGAGTTGGAAACGACTGAGTGACTAAGCACAGATGACTCCTATGGAGAATAGAGTGTGTGTTCGTGTACTCATTCTTCACTCTGGTCAACTGCACTGTCAGTCAGCCCACTGTTCAGCTTGTGTTCAACACAAGGCTCACTTCTTCCTGAAGACTTCACTTGAGTCCGTCCTTCTCCCAGAAGGCTTTCCCCCACAGATCCACTTGGCTAAAACCTTTACTTCTTTCAGTTCTTACTCAGGTCTCATCTTTTCAATAGGACCTCCCATAACTACACTGTAAAGGATAGGAAATGGTCAGGCCTCCCCATCTCCATCTGCCTACTCCACTTTACACCTACAGCACTTTTTAACTCCTATTGTGTATCATATAGTACACTTGTTTGTTTTTTAAGTTTTTGCTGTCTGCAACCCCTAGCCTATCAGACAGAACACCACTTCTGCAATTGCCTAGCACAATTCCTGACACACAGCAGATGCTTAAGTATTCAAGTCCCTAAAATACATAGGCACTGTGTATGAGCAGAGTGAGCAAAATGACTTAGTATACGAAGTATATATACTATGCATACGTTTCTATTTCAAACTAACTATGCAGCCATCTTTTGTTAAACTCATGATTTTCTTTTATAGGGCAACTGGCTATGCCCCACACACAATGTAAATGAATCACATTAGGTAAACATCTGGGTCAGATGTTTCGGCAGTTTGAAAAGAAACTGTTTTAAATCTACGTATATGTCTTTTAATGTCTTAAAGAATAACCTTCCAAAGTTGAAAACTGGTTTGAAACATAATTAAGTCTTTCCATTCTTTTACTTGTAACATTTCTTTGTAGAGTTTGTCATGCTGGGTAACTGTTCGGCAAATAGAATGGCACCCAAAGCTGAAATGTATGTCTCAGTACGAATATGACTCAGAGCTCCAGCGTGAGACCAATTTCATTTCTAAGACAGACATGAAAATTTACACCGATATGTAGACAAATGTTGGCAAACTTACAGCAAATATGCTTTTTCTAGGGTCGGAAAGCCTGCAAGGCCAGGCAGATCACAAAAGAGAGAAGGCAGCCAGGAGCAAGAAAGTCATGCAAATATGCTTTTTCTAGGGTCAGAAAGCCTGCAAGGCCAGGTAGATCACACAAGAGAAGGCAGCCAGGAGCAAGAAAGTCATTGGTGTCAGGAAATAATAGAAGGCAGAGGGGTCTGGGGGTAAATTCTGTCTAAAAGGAGCCCCTGCTAATAAACATGATGAGATTATTGATAAGAAATCCCCAATAACAAAATATCTTGATTTTTATCCCCAAATGTTTATATAAAATCTCACAATTTATAAAACTTGTCAACTAATTAATATTTTTGAAAAAATAAAAATGAAAACACTAACAGATAATAACATCATGTTAACAAAATAATTTTATACATCAGACCAGCCTCTAACTTGTGACCTCTGGATTCATGGACTGGTTCATAACTCTGCTTATTCATTTATTCATTCAACAAACATGTATTCAATACTCACCATGTGCCAACACCATTTGGAGTATGGAAGCCTATCAGTGAACAAGGCAAACTCCCTGCTCTCATGGAGCTTACAGTCTAGTGAGGGAGGCAGAGAAAGAACACATAAATACTTAATATGGTGTTCACAGGATTTGTGGCAGCTGATGCGAAGAGCTGACTCATTGGAAAAGACCCTGATGCTGGGAAAGATTGAGGGCAGGAGGAGAAGGGGACAACAGATGAGAAGGTTGGATGGCATTACCAACTCAATGGACGTGAGCTTGGGTAAGCTCTGGGAGTTGGTGATGGACAGGGAGGCCTGGCGTGCTGCAGTTCATGGGGTCACAAAGAGTCAGACACGACTGAGAGACTGAACTGAACTGAGAAATTGTAATGAAATTTGGGGTGCTTTCTTGTTTTAAAGATAGTTTTGATGGGGACCATTTTTAAAGTCTTTATTGAATTTGTTACAATATTGCTTCTGCTTTATGCATTGATTTTTTTTTGGCCATGAGGCATGTGGGATTTTAGCTCCCCAACCAGGGATCCAACCTGCACCCACTGCATTGGAAGGTAAAGTCTTAACCTCTGTACAACCAGTCAGGTCTCTCTCACAAGAGGCAACCTTTAGTAGGGACTTGACTAAAATAAGAGAGTAAGCCATGCAGACTGTATTCTAGGCAGAGGAAAGAGCAAATACAAAGGCCCTGAGGTCAAAATAAGCCTAGTGAGAGGAAGAGATGAAAAGAAGTCTCTTAAGGCTGGCTGGAGTGGTCCAGACCAGTCTAGATGTAGTTAGTGGGAGGAACATGTTTTGTTTTTTTTTTTAAGGAAATCCATTGCAATATTTAGGACAGGGAGATGGCATCATCTTATTTATGTTAAAAAAATCACTCCAGGGACTTCCCTGGTGATCCAGTGGTTAAGATTTCACCTTTCAGTGCAGGAGTTGCAGGTTTGATTCCTGGTCAGGGAACTAAGATTCCACATGCCTATGGGCAATAAAACCAGAACATAAATAACAGAAGCAATATAATAACAAATTCAACAAAGTCTTGCAAAAAAAAATGGTCCACATAAAAAAAAACACCCCCAAACCCCCTCTCATTCTAAAAACATAAAAAGATCACTCTGGATGCTCAAGATAGACTAGAAAGTGGTATGGTAGACTATGAATAGACTAAATAGACAAAATAGTCAAGAAAAGAAGATTTGATGAGAGATCATGGGCTGAAACTTGTGATGCCTTGCAACTGAAAGGAATGGATTATAGATGGGATATATTTTGAAAAAAAAGCTAGCAGGATTTGTTGATGGGTTGGATGTAAGATGTGAGGAGTCAGAAAACTCAAAGAGGTTGATCATATGAATGGTGAAGACATTGACAGAAATGTAGAAGACCCAGGATCCGGCAAATCTGAACCAGCTACAAGCTCAAGGTACTTTAGAAGACTTGCCAATTACCCTTGAAAATATAATAAAAAGATTCCAACCAGTTGAAAGAATCCTTCCAGATCCAGTTTGGTATAAACTACTGCATCTAGGTGACAGTCTTTCTAATCATTCTGTCTTTATATGTATCAGAGGGGGAAGAAAAAGGAAAACTAACATTTACAATGAGCGACTTCACTTTCACTTTTCACTTTCATGCACTGGAGAAGGAAATGGCAGCCCACTCCGGTGTTCTTGCCTGGAGAATCCCAGGGATGGCAGAGCCTGGTGGGCTGCCGTCTATGGAGTCGCACAGAGTCGGACACGACTGAAGCGACTTAGCTGCAGCAGCAGGCACTCTTCTAAGCCATTTACCTATGGTATATCATGGAATCCCCAAAGCAATGCTTTAAGGTGAATTACTATAATCTGCATTTTAATAGGTTAAAAGACTTAGAGGTACTTAGAAGTTTATCAACTTGCTGTGTTGGTTTTTTAGGGCTTCCCTGATGGCTCAGAGAGTAAAAGAATCCACCTGTTATGCAGGAGACTTGGGTTCAATCCCTGGATTGGGAAGATCCCCTGGAGAAGGGCATGGAAACCCACTCCAGTATTAAACATGCCCACAAATTCTTTGACAGTCCTCCCTTCAAAGGTGAAGCTCATTCCCCTCCCTCTGAAGGTGAAAGGGAGTGGGGACTTAATGATTCACATTTAGTGAAGAGAATGTGATGGGACTGATGATGCCTGAAATCTGAGACTAGTTCATAGACAGCATTATGGCTTCCTCGTTGCTCGCTCTTGGATCATCGCTTTGAGGGAGTTGCCATGTCAAGGAGGAGACTCAGGGTCCCTGTGAAGAGGCAACATGGCAAGGAACTGAGGCCACCTGAAAGCAGCTGGCACTGATTTGCTAAGTGTCCGGCCTTGGACAAGCCTTCTCATGACGGCAGCCCCGCCAATAACTTGACCCTCGTGAGAGACTCTGAGTCAGGAGAACCCAGGTCTCCCACATTGCAGGTAGATTCTTTATCAGCTGAGCCACCAGGGTCGCCCAAGAATACTGGAATGGGTGGCTTATCCTTTCTCCAGTGGATCTTCCTGACCCAGGAGTCGAACCGGGGTCTCCTCTA